CTGCAAGGAGAAAATAAGGATTTTAGTATTCATAAATAATAGTTGCAATGACGATGATGTCATTAATAGATCATATTGCAGAACAATGCAATCTTTGGATCAAATTGCGAAAACATTAACCAAGGTTGACACAATCACGCCAAAGTAGATTAAATAGAGAAATAGATCATATACTACACTCAATACAAATTTCAGATAATGCAACTAAAATAAGTGCGAACACATTCATCACCTATAATTCGACGTTCCCCCAAAATCCTAAAGGAAAGAGTTGAATTCCCTGGACAAAGCGAAATGCTACCAGAACCCACAACCTTCGCGCACGGAGCAGCTTCCCCGCCGTGTTTAGGTAAAGCATCTGCCGCAAAAGCTAGCACAAGAAAACCAGTTGCTGCAAGACTTTCAAAATTCGAACCCAACGGTTAAATAATGACCGAGCTGTAGAACCTCACAACGATGACATAAAAAACGCCCCAAAATGAGTCTTGAAAAAAGAAAATGATGATAAGAGCATCGAAGCTGATCATGAACGTGCAAGAAAAAAGAGAGTAACGAAATAATTCGTTATTACGACGATGATAAGAGCAATGGACATAAGACGGGTAACTGTCTGCTCAAGAACTGTAAAAATGAATTCATCTTCATTTCTTTTTCTTTCTAATAACTTGGAAATCCCACCACAATACGTACACGAAATAAAAGCAATGACCGTTGTTTCTCAAGTAGAGTTAGGAAAGTCAACCTCAGGCAAGTTTGAGGCCTTCTTTCGCGCAGGTCCAAGCCTCCGCCATTCACCCCCCCCTGCCGCAAGGGAGTCATGACCTTCCGAAAAGCGGAGGTCGCGCGCCCCCGATCGAAATTCCTGACGGCGGTTACATCCAGTTGCGGCCGCGGGATGGCGCCTCGTCACCCCGCCGCCGCACACCTCCTCGGAAATGTCTTGAGCGCGACCTCTGCTTAAACGAACGCCACCCGAGCTTTCCACTCGACACACGCCCCGCATGTTCCATCATTTATTGGGATTTTCCACCCTAATTCCGTGGTTACCTGACTTTCTGTCGTGGAAGCGCCATTTCCGCCGTGCGCCGGGGCCCTCATGGGAGAGCGCCAGGATAAGCACTCGACGGCAATAAACATCTCATCACGTATGAAAGATACCGGATTTTCCCGCTAATATAGAACGGGTGACTGGAAGCGCACGGACAGACCAAGCTAAGAAATAATAGCAAGAGGTTTCCCAGCCTAGAGTACCGGGCAGGAGCTTTCACGCTGACAAACAATGGACTGAAGTAGGGTCGTCAGATGGCAGCCTGTGCGTGCCATCTGCTCCCTTTCGTCGCCTTTGGAGACCCTGTGTCACTGTCTTTCATCATCAAAGTTTTGACCTAGTCTTCCCAGGAATATCAGATGGCATTCCGTTGATAATGATGGTCAAGTAATAAACATTGTTGTTTTTTCATGAGCTTCTGTCGCTCATTACTCGGCGACACGACAGGAACCTTTCCAGAGGCAAGGTTGCGCGGGTCACACCAAGCCGGGCCGGGCCAAAGGTCGCGCGCGGGTGAAAGGCAAAGCCGCTGGTGGTTGCGCCGCGAAGCATAATCCATCTGTCGAGTCTAACTGATATAATTCCTTGTTCTTCCTCAGCAAGAGCTTCCAAAGCAGCCATTGCGCTGAGAAGGAAGTCACGGGCGGATGCAGAAGTCAGGTTCGAAGTCCTAGATTTGGCTGCGAGTGAAAGGGGCGCCGGCGCTGACAGACAGATGAAGACTCCCAACGTGTTTACGACCTCGGCCCGGCAGACAAGTGTCGCGTCTGGCCGGAAACATTCCTCGCGGGGAACGAGTTACCTTCGGCATTTTGGTTCGATCTGTTTTTGCCCCGAGACTGCCATGGGGAAGGTCGGGGCACGTGTAGGCCTTTTTCGCACTGAATCTTCGTTCACACATGGCACCCTGTGCCCGGGAGAAGGCCGTTCATGACCTCTCCTATCTCGTCCTCGTTTACATCTGCCATCGCTCCTCGTCCAATAAGGCACCTTCAGAAGAAAGGCCAGAAAATACGCTTTGCTTCTTTATGCAAGAAAATATCGAATTCTTCGAGTTTCGGAGTTATTCATGGGAGGGAGCGGAGGCTGCCTGTACCTCCCGCGACTCTCGCTAGATGGCAGTCATTCATCAGCATTAGCCGGGGACCCTGGAACATCCCGCCCACACCGGGGCGCCGACTCGCACGCAATTTTCATTCATTAGAATTCCGCGCGTGGAACGAAAATGTCTAACCTTTAAATTTATGGCGTTAATAAATGGAAGCAAATCGCCGCCGACAAGGAAAAAGGCAATCTCGAAATCCAAGCCACCTGCGCATGAGCAGACCCAAGAGGAGGGTCGGGAGATCCACCTACGATCCATTATCATAAACAGGCGGCGAACAACTGGATGCACGCCTTAATCAGGCTTTACGGCAGCAGGAAATTTCAAGCGCTTTGTAGCGAACCTTGATGGCAAAAGTGAAACCATGTAGAATTGCAAGTAATAAAGATCGTGCAAACACATTGAAACGAGAGTGAAAATAACATAGTTTGCCAAACCTTCTAGCGACATACACAAGCAGCGTCGGTTTCGGAATGCACGAGATGTCCCTCCGGCGGAATGCAGAACTATTCTGTCTCAACTAGTCTTCAAGGTGACTATCCAGCTGGCACAAGCGAGAAAGAGAACCTCCCCTTAGAACGGGAAGAAAAAATCTGAATGCTAGCATTACCTTAAGTACTTGTCAATAACTCAAAAGTAGACAACTATCGAAGGAATGCTGAGCAATTTGAAGACAGTACTGCATTTTCATGGCGATCGCCTAGAAACCCGGCCGGGAACTGCCCTCGACTTTCAAATCCATCAAACGGTTGCAACATGTTTATGGCAGCAGCAGAGGCTAATAAACGGGGAGTTCGAAATACCAAAGTTCCCGCCCCAAGCACGGCCTCCGAGCGCCGTGCCCCCGCGGAAGACGGCCATTCATTGCGGCGACCCAGAAGACGCAGCAACTATAACAGGTCCTCAAAACACGCCCAGCGGGAGCCGGCCATACCGAACGTCCAATTTGGCCGTATAAGGGCTCTGGGCGTGTGATCCTTGCGCTGCCTGGCTTCGCGGGCGGCCTCCGTGGCAACTCTCACAAGGGTCACAGCCCATAATCAGGCACCTGCGTGTATTGAATTGACTCAGAAAAATGGAAATAGCTGTCTAGGCTGCTGCAGCACCAACTGAGGCAGATATGTCTCGATTTCGTTTTCTTCTCTTACAATCTCTTCGACTCTTAGAGCTGCTCACTTTTTCACAGGGTGGCCTCCCAGAGGGTGCAGTAATTCCACTCTCCACCTGGCGCGGCCAACCTTCTCGACAAGTGCCGGAATCCTGTCGCAAAAGCCAAGGAAAGGGTCACAGTCCAATGGGCACACCGGAGCCACGACCCGAGAAGGCTGTTCGGCCGTCGCATCTCGGCGGCAAACACATGGTCTCGAAAGGTCCTTAAAAGCGGCTGCTTCGCAACACAATTAAGCATATGCAAATATATACAAACGTATATAAGCAGGAGAGGGGGCGTCCTTCATTATAATGGGCCAGCGAAGTTCCACAAACACACAAGGTACAGAAACCATGTTATCTCCTTTTGCTGAACAAACTGCGACAAGGAAGCAGAAATCTTATGTCTTTACTGTAATATACAAGAAATGAATATGAAAATAACACTCCATAGTTCTCCCCTGACGCAAAACAGTCAACAAAAACACTCAGTCATAATAACTAAATGTGGCAATGTCCACTATCTTTCCCTTGCGATGATTTTTTTTATCTTTCATTGCTAAAAGTGATAAAATAGTGCGACCTCTTCATCCACAGGTATCAGATCTGCTCAGTATTCCTGTCGTGTGACGCAAGGACCTCGCACACAAGGCAATGTGGTTCCCAGAGCAGTTACAAGAATTACTCTTCATCAGATGGAGGCGCTTGGCGAGGTTCTTAGTTGTGATCAGATAGCGATTATCAGGACGCTGCGGTGAATGTACTTTCCGTGTCTTGGTTGTAACAACAAACGCAAGGTCTTGGGGAAGTTACAGAGCCTTGATGGCTATCAGGGAGTCCACGTGAAAGTTCTGGTGTCCCCTGGATATTCGTGGCGTCCTTATGGAAATGTTTACAAGATATTCCCAGTGATAGCATCGCCTAAAGCTGAATGCAATGCAAAGATGTCAACGAGCAGCTCTGAAATGATGCCTGTCTGCTTCAGGTTTAAAGCGCTAGTCAGTCTGAGTTACATATACGAGACCCAGATGGTACCGACATGACTCAGCTGGTGATAGTTACAGGCCCAGATGGTACTATAAATGCTCCAGATGACAGTTTATACAACGCATACGGTCTTCGCCGGACTTATAAGATGGATACAAAGAGTCGCTCTGTTTATTTTGTGGACCAGGTGTGCGCCTCGCAGAGGGGGGAGTTAAGAGCTGTTCCAAGTGGCGAGCAAGATGCCCAAGTGGCGGGCCAGACACCTGAGCGAAGGATCGAATGCTTTCTCCAAATAATCCCGAGAGAGAAACAAAAGACTACGAGCGGGCGTGGAGTGCGCACCGGCGCTGGGCGGAGGGAGGCAATAATGAGAGGTAATATCACCGCGCGTGGAAGGAGGACGAGGAGGGGGAAGTAAAGTGAGACATGAATGCACTGTTTATAGAATGCCTCGGGCCTGAGGATGCAGGCTTGATCACTTTAAATATCCTTCGCCTGAGTAATAAGACGCCCTTCAAGTAGAGCATAGTAGGTCAAGCCTGGGGTAAAGAGCGAGGAGGGGGGGGGGTGGCGTGAGGAGCGGGGGTATCACTCCGAGGAGACGAAGAAATCGTCCGGGGGGGGGGGGGGGTCGCATCGTTTAGAATCGTACAGCTTAAAGGGAACACGTCAAGAGAAGGACCATGTGGAGTTCCCTTCTGTAGCAGGTGG